TAGAAAGTAACACTTAGTGAACATTCACCTGCATTAAGCCCTCTACTTTCATTATCTCATTTAATTCTCACAAAAACCCCCAAGAAGATTTGCTAATATTACCCGTGGTCTACATGTGAGAAACCTGAGGCTCAGAAAGCTTCAGAAAACCTGCCTAAGGAACAGAGTAGAGAGGGCAGGTCCAGGATTGAAACCAAGCAGCCTGACTCCAAAGCCTGCGGTCTTCACCACCATGCCACATAAATAAAGTGGATTGAAAGGAAATCACCCCAAATCACAGAACACTCATGGGAAGATTATGGTTCTCATGACGCTAATGGGTTATTACGGAGGTGAAGCGTGTGATGTCCAGAGCTCCCGGGGCCCCAGGCAGGTCCTGGCCTCTCCCAGTGCCCAGGCTGCTGGGACAGAGTGGGTGGGGGCCATGCGAGCTCACCTAGAGGGCAGAGGAAGCGCACAGTGTAATTGGAGCAGTTCTGGCCCGGCCGCTGCTCCCTGTTGAGGCACCAGAAGCCCTCAAGGGGGCTGCTATGGACCACCTGGCCAGTGCTGCCTGCGGGTGTCCAGCTGGTGGTCCGAGCCTCTAGCCGCAGGGGCCGAGCGCACACCCGGTCCCCATAGTAGAAGCGAATGGCATCCAGCCGCTCGTAGTCGCCCTGCCCACCTGGGTGGTCGATGTTGAACCATGTTGTCCACTCCCCAGGACCTGAGAGACAGAGCCAGGTAGGAGGGGAGCCAGGCCCTAGAGCCCCAGGTGAGCTCCACCCCGGGGAGTCATCCCTGAAACCTTTCACCCACCCCTCACTGGTCTCAGGCCCCATTGCATCTCTCTCTCCAGCATCTCTCCAATCTCTTACCTTTCTGCACAGTCTACTGTCAAAGGCTCTGTTAAAGCTCTCAGCAGCCTGCTGTACCAGGTCAGTTACTTCCTGCCTCGTCTCTCTACCTCCAGCTTCCCCTCACCCCATCCCCACCCATCTTCGATGCTGCGGTCAGGGTGAGCTTTCTCCTTGTGGATTGGCCCACATCACTCCCGGCTTTAACCCCCTCAGCCAGGCATTCAGATGCTGGTGCGCCTTCCCCTGCTCTCTCTCCATCCTCACCTCTCCACTCTCTCCCTGTCATTCTGTGCTCTGGCCCCAGCAAGCCCCTACAGCATCCCTGGAATATATCAGGCAGCTTCGTGATTCTGAGCTGTCCTAGATACTTGGTCCCTCTGCCTGGACATAGATGTAGGCCAAATGCCTTCTAAAAGTGGGTTTCTGTGGAACGCTGACATTGCTCCCTGGCTGCAGAGATTCTCTTAGCAAGCTCAGTAAAGAGCCCCCCTCCTGACCCCTCCCCTCCTTCAGCCACAACTTACTATCCAAGGGGTCAGCAGGCTTGGCAAAGATGCTGGAGGTCCTCTTCCCAGGCTGGACTCTTCTCACCGACTGAGTGAGCAACATCTGTCTCCCTGAAGGCCAGGAGGAGAAGTGAGGGGCCAAGACTGTTAGGGTCCTGTTACCAGCCCCTCAAGACGTAAGAAAGCAGTGTGATGTTGAGGGGTGGAGCATAAGCACTGGGCATGAGTTCAAATCCTCACTCTGCTACTTAGGGAAGGTAAAGGGACCAGGCATGCGGTGCATGTTCAACAAATGGTGATTCCCTTTTTGCTTTTGTACTAGAAATGGCTCATCAGATGCTGCTGGGCAGCCAGTGGGCTGGGGTTCCTATTTCAGGGTCTGGGCTTGTCCTCTTTGGTGGATTGAAACCTTACTTTCCTCATCTGTAAAATGGAGATATGAATTTCCACCACACAGGCAGCGGTCCAGTTGGCATGAGGATTCCAAGAGATAACACAAGCAAATACCTCTGAAGTATACAGAGACAGAGCCCACACTGTCTGACTGTGTGACCCCGGGCCAGATACTTAACTCATATGGCCCCTGTTCCCTCATCATAAAGTGAGGATGATAATAGTTCCACTCTCAGAGGATTATGGGGATTAAATAAGCTCATTCATAAAATCCACTTAGAACAATGCCTAGCACTCAGTGTTAGCAGTTCCTCTTCGCTCAAGGCTGGACAGTAGACGTCCATTTCCCTTCTCCTGGCGAAGTTTGGCTTTGGGAGTCTACCCTCCCCTAAAGGACTGATGTGGCCTAATTGGAGGAGTGGCTCTCAATTTTCTGACCTCAGGCTGCTGGAGTCTGGCTGAGAATCGGGACAGGGACCTCAGGCCACAGGCAGCTAGCTTCCAGCCTCACTCGACCTATGGCTGGGTTGGGGGCTCCAAAATGGGAGGGAGAAAAGAGAGCAGAGGGCTGCAAAAGCTTTGAAAGGCAATTAACTCTCACGTGAGGAGCTAGATCAGAATTCTCTATGCTGCTTAATTGGGGTGATAGGAGCTCTTTTAATCAAACTTATCTGATTTCCCCTCAGACAGCTGAATGTTAATCATCTTCATCACCAGCAGCTGTCAGGGTAGAAAGAGCAAGGCGGGAGGTGGGCACGCTCAGGGTTTGGCCTGATGCCGAGACAGCCTTTGTTCCTGCATCTGTGGTCACAAAGCCTGCAGTGCGTGCAGCTTTAAGGGAGGATTTTGAGCTTTTTTTGCTTTACCTGAATATGCGGTTAGAAATCAGGAAAGGAAGGGGAGATGGGAAAGAGAGGGTGTTTGGGGTAGTGCTGTGAGCTCTGATGTTTAGACACCTCAGGGAGCCCACCAGGAAAATTCTCTCTACCTGTTCCCTTGAGAACTCAGTGTCACCAGACAACAGAGGTCAGAGGGCAAGGAGACCAGAAAGGGTTCTAGTGTCTCTGTGAAATTTGGCTACAGGGTCTAAATGAATTTTCATGAAACTGAAACCAGATCAAATCCCAAATCTGCTTGTAAAAACGCAGCGATCCCTTGTGACTCCCTTTTGCTTTGGCTATCAGGAAGCTCAGAGCTAAAATTAGCACTCAGGGGCAGCGGTGATCCTCTTATCTTTTTCCCTCCTTCTCAGTTGTCAGCTTATCCCTCTCCTCATTTAAAAAGCTCTGTTCTGTGACTTTTAATATTGGGAACCATCTCAAATCCTCTAGGAAAACAAGCAGGGTGTAAATTATGAATAAGTAGACAAACCAGCCTCAGGTCTGAGTGCCACTGCTGTGGCTTAAGGCAGAAGCAGAGCTGGGTCCCAGACCAGATGTGACTTCAGTATGGAAGCAGGGGATTTGGGAGATAGTAGATACTCAGCCTGTACCCAACACAGAGGTGACCTCCAGGACCAGGAAGAAGGAGACCCAGGCCTTGGTCCCCACCATCTTTCCCCCAGGTCCCATGGGGAAGGTGGCAAGAGATGAGCGAGGGTTCCTTCAGAGCTCGGTTGTCCCTGGAATGTGTTCCCCTGAGAAGTTTCTCAGATCAATGACCTGCAAAGAAACAAAGCTCGTTAGGTTCCACATCCAATAGGGCTTGAGCAGAACTATTTCTTGACCTATCAAGGGTGAAAGGGACAGAATGAAGTCTTGTGAGAGGTGACACCTGCCCAAGTTGCAAATCTGGGCAGCTTGGGAGATGCAGAGTCAGAATCTGAGTTCAAATGAAGCAGACCTGGATTACAAATCCTGGGTCCAGGTGCCAGGGCCCCACATCGAGGTGGGACTTACAGGGGAGTAGGAGTTAGGAGGTTCCTTGCCAATGAGGAGGGGCCTGGGCTCACCCCCAGCAGCCAAGGACTTCCCAGACCTGGGCCTGGGGGCATGACTTACTGCCCTTTGGTGGGATTCACGCTGTTACACAACAGGGCTACATATTAAGCTGTGCAACCCCGCCGAACAGCAGCGGCCCCTCACAAGGC